TTTCAGAAGAATTCTTTCGCATTAGTTGGGGAATGTTGGTAATGCTCAATCCCACATAGAGTTGGAAATACTAGTGGGAATGGTATTTAAGGTTTACATTCTCCATTCTCTTGTTGAGTGATAGAGAACAAGGCGTGGTAATACGTGTCTTTGACATGTCCACACAAATACTATCTTTTTAGAGAAAATTCGTAAGGAATTTTTCTCTAAAAGATTAAATGAAAAATGTGAAAGATTCATCTTATATTTATAGGCTACTGAGACTGTTAAAGTTCGAATATTTCAGATGATAACAATTGATTATTAGTTGTTTGAAATTAAATAAATTAAACAATTATTTTTTCTAAATTAAATCATAATTTAAGATGTATCTAGACTGATTTTCAGCTTTGTTCATGGGAGAGACAAACTGTTAATATCAAGAGTTACATGAGTTATATGATTTAATTTCAGGAGTTATAACTGTTTAATGCAATGAACATAGACTCTTTTTTGAGCCAGATTCATCAAGAGGAGTTACAAAAAGGGTTTAAATTCAGAATTAAAATCAAATTTAATTTGATTTTCTTGTTGGACGGATTTACCCTTACTTCTAGCCTATAAATAGAGAGTTAAATTCAGCTTCTCAATACACACTCTCAACATTCTGAATTCACTCTCCAAGTGTTTTCTAAACTTGTTATCTGTGTGTTTTCCGATCAGAAGTGCAATACCACCAGCAGTCCACTCCGATTTCGGGTGTACGAAATTTGGAGCGACCGTGTTAACCTCGGGGGACGGTCCGCCTACTGCAGCAATTACACACATCGGGGCGAATTCGTTTCTAAGGCAGTGGTTAATACCACGACACGGTTAATCGGTTCTTTATTTATATATTTTCAATATATATTTTTCCAGTCAATGCTAATGTCTCGTTTTGCAGCAGTCTATTTTACCAACACAAATATACATCTTATTCTTGAGAAATTGGAGATCATCGGTTGCCCATCTCTCCGTTACTTTCCAGAAGGTAAGTTACCAACTACCCTTAAAGTGCTTAAGATTTGGGATTGCTTGAAGCTAGAGCCCCTTTATGATAGGATGCTGCCTAACAATGCATCACTTGAATACATTGATATTTGTAAGTGTTCAACTCTAATAAGCTTTCCGGAACCACTATGCAAACTCATGTCGCTGGTAGAATTAAATATAAGCAATTGCCAAAATCTGTATTTGTGGATAGACGTGAATCGTCAATAACTATAAAATTTTTAAAAATATATTATTTTATAATTAATCGAAGAACTTTTTAAATATCAATAACTAAATTTATTATTATAAACAGATTTAATTCTTATTTAGAGTTGTTGCCTTGAAATTTCAACATTTAATTCTATTAAATCTAAGAACACGTTTAACAGACTTATCATGTAGAGCGGTCCATTTTAGAACGGGGGGGGGGGGGTTTTCAGTTTTCCTTTTGACTTTGAACTTTTTATAAATTAATTTTATGGCTATTTATTACGTAATTTGTAATAAATCTAAAATAATATAAAATAATATATATTTAAATACTCATTCGATAATAAATATTTATATCTCGTAGAGATAGTATTAGCCCATATTATTAATGTATGGATAATATTTTTTTCACAAGATTTAAATATTTATTTATTTATTTATTATTATTATTATTATATATAGATTTAAAAGATATCATCTCTCATTAGAATCCGATTATCAAATAGTAATAGATAGGAGTATAAACGAATCGAGTTTGAACAAATAAAATTGTGTCTATGTTCGTTGTTTATTTTTTGAAGGTGTTCATGTTGAGTTCATGTTCGTTTAATTTTTTTAGTATCGTGTTTGTGTCTATTTATTTATTTTTTAAGGTGCTCGTGTTTGTTTATTTAAAACGTTCACGAACGTGTTCGTTTAATGTTCGTGAACACGTTCTTTTAAATGTTCGAGAACATGTTCGCTTATATGTTTGTTTAGCATTCGTGAACATTTTCTTCTATCATTTGTGAACATACTTGTTTATCATTCAATAAATGAACATATATGTTCGTGAACTAGTGCTAAAACTTCTTAAGATTCATAATTTAAACTCCAAATTTCATTATATATTAAATTTACGATGTACTTTCACTAACATAAAAAATATAAAAACAATAAGTCAACTTAAACGAGTTTATTTGAGAACATAAACGAACCGAATACACCTTTCTTTGTGTTCGTTCATTTATTGAATGAGCATAAAAATTTTGTTTATACTCGTTTATATAGTTTAATAAACGCTCTATTCATTTATACCATTCTCGATAGACATTTTCCGTATTGCTTTCCAGAAAGACGTGTAGGAGATTTCAATAGTATGAAAAGAAAGGGACAGTTTTAGGAAATCAATTTCTAAAATGTGTGGAACTCATCCAACACATGAGTTTGTGGCAATAGTATTTGTGATTTGAAATTCGAATAACAACATTAACGACTCCAAAAATATTTTTAAGATAAATATATTTATATAAATAATATAAAATTTGTATATGAAGAAAATATAAACATAATTTTAAGATGTATATAACCGATAAAATAAATATTAAAAAAATTAAATTTTAAGACCAACATGTGATCATTCTAAAAAAAAGTTACATAGGCTAGTGAGTTGGAAGCTTCTTACATTTGGTCAATGCAGCACCAGGCTGTTGAACCCATGACTTTGCTTCACGTGTAGGAACGAGCACATACAGCTAAGCCCCATTTTTTCTTTACTCAAGATGATCAATGGCCAATATTAGTTCCCATTCCACACGCCTTTAATCATTTCATGTGTAAAAAAAAAAACCTAATCACATAAATTTATTAGATATTTATTAAAAATTGTAAATTACACAAATCGTCATTGGATTAAAAAACAATATATAATCATTTTCGTTTCGTTTTAATTAAGATGGAGTATCGACTGTCATGAGTTGAGATGGGTATGAGACCCAACCTGACAGGTCATTTATGATGAAAAATACATGATCCGAAAAAATTATAATTTTACCTTATGTTAAGGATAATTGTAATAATACTCCTCCATATATTTTTCAATTAAGTTCCTATTTTTTATTGAATAAAGTTAATACTTTTTTAATAAATATATTATTTCATGTCGGGTTGGGTCAGGTTTGAGTCGAGTGGAAGGTGTATATTTATCAGGTCAACTTTGGGTCGAGTGAAAGATGTATAATTTTCAGGTTGGGTCAGGAGGACCAAAAATCTAATCCAACCCGACCCAACCTACGCCCATCCCTAGTCGTGAGTTAGATGACGTGGTATGTTAGTAAAAAAAAGTTCATTTTTTTTATTTAAACCCTTGAATTCTGATCAAAGAAAGCCGTGGAGAAGATAGGCGTGGGAAGAAAACGTATGGAAAAAGAGGGTACATTTATATCTTACCCCTAAACTATTTAATTGATCAGTTGAACCAGATTGGTAATTATACAAACAGTAAAAAATGACTTAGATTTTTAATCAATCAAACTAATTGAACTGAAAATTATCTGGACCAGTTGAACATAAATTTAACGTTAATTACAGAACATGTAAACAGGTTTCCCGGTCTCCAAAATCCAACAGGACAGTCTTTGCTTGCAAATTACTCTTAAGACTCCCAATTGTCCTTACAAAACCGTGTTCCGAATGCACTAAAAAGGAACAGGATAAGACCATTTGACCACAGCTAAGAAAAGTGGCCTGTTGTTTTACAACTTCTGTTCCTGTATTTGTTGAGCTCAAGCAACTGCTTCGTCTTCACTTTCCTTCTCTCCAATGAATGTATAAAAACCTCCAGATATCAACGCATCTTACACCCATAAACAAATTAAAAACTTCATCAAAACTAAACCCAAAAAAAAACTTCTCTTTTGTTGCCAATGGTACTCTTGGTACAAAAGCTCAGAAAATTCTACTCCAAGCTGGAAAATCACCACCACCACCGAGCAGAGGTTGATGTTTTGTCGGCTTCTTTACAGGCTTTCAGGTCCGATGTTGCGAATTACATGAACCAGTTGTTGTCGTTTAATCCGGAACCCAGATCAAAAGTCTTGTCTCTTTCATGGATCAAACGATGTCTCGAGCTCCTTCCCATGATCAACAAGGCGTTTATAAAGCTAGTCGATGACATGGACTACCCCATGACCAGCTGGGAAGCTGCTTCTCTCGACGAGTATCTCAATTACGGCTTGCATTTGCTGGACCTTCTAAATTCCGTTAGTTCCTCTCTTTCTCACCTGTCGCATGCTAGGCTTTCAATCGCACACGGCCTCAACCTCGTGGAGAATTCACCTTCCATGGCTATAAAGCATCTCAAGCCGATGCAGCCACAAAGTTCAAGCAAGGACGTCAAGGGATTGTTAAACGAGGAAGATTGCGAGGGGAAGTTTGGTTCTTGCAAGGAAAGGGTAATCAATGAAGCTATGATGGAGATAAAGAGCATTGGGTTTTGGGTATTTGGGGTTGTTTTGGCTTCCTTGTCGGGTGAGACCAGACCGTACTTGGAGATGAAACAAGTGATTTCAGGCTTCGATAAAGCTTCTTCATTGATCGGTGTAATGGATTCATGTGTGTTCTATGTTGTAGTGGAGAAAGGTGAGACATTGAAAGAGGTTAAGGAGCTTAACAGTGCAGCAGGTTCACTGGTATCAGCAATTGTCTCTGGGAAAACAAGTGATGCCGCCATGGATTTGGAGGGGAAATTGAGTGTTTTCGAGGAGGAGATTGAAGTATTGGAAAAGCAAGTGGATGCCTTGTTTTCCAAGGTATTGGCAACCAGAAATGAACTGCTTCACGGTGTTAGGCAACTCAAGCAATGACATCGAATTAACAATTTCTTGTGTAAATAGAAAAAGAAACATTCATACATTTGTTCTCCTTTTTTTTATATATTGCTATCTTCAAAATTATTAATGGAAATGGAACAGTTTTACTTGTAACTTGTACTTGCAGGGAAGATTAACTTGGTCCATTTTGATACAAAAGGAAAGCCTATTTGCGAATATAGTCTCTTTTTCCCCAATAACTGTTGATACTAAAAGTACATCCAATATACTGATATGAAACATCTATAACTTCACTGTGATTCGAACAAAGGGTTCTTTAAAAGAACTACCGAACTAGACTCGATTGTACCATACCCATATCTAAGTTTTGTCATCTCTGTTAGGGCCCCCCAATCCCATATCTAAGTTTTGTCATCTCTGTTAGGGACCAAGGGGACGGAGTTACAGAAAGAATCAAACTGCCCCAATTGGCTCTCTGAGTTAATGGAACGGCTTTCTCTTTCGGGTTTCTTTCTTTTGGGATAATCACTTGGCAACCTGATATCGCAGAGACAAATATAGTGAGTTAGTCTACAAGAACGGACAATAGTGGTGAAAAGGGCAACAACTTCATTTTGGTCAGCAAGTGCAATCGATATCAAACAATCAAGGAACACTTGGGCAACGGTAGAATGGAATGAAGTAATGACTTCATTGTTATAGTTAATCTCAAGAACATACTACCCAAATATAAGATATGCATACCCTAAATGCAAGGTAGTGTCTGAATCTCCCTTTTCAACAGTGCAAGCACAGGTGCCATCTGGACTGGGAATACTAAGACTCATGAGAGTATTTTTCCTTTCGACGGGATAGTGTTCGAGATAGGATCGGGACAGGTGATCAGCTGATGGAAAGAAACCTCTTAGCTCCTCAACCTGCATCAGTAGGCACAAGTAAAAATAGGTTACGTATAACCCAAACCATAATGAATGGTTTTCGGTTTTGTCTACAGAAATATAACTTGCCTGTCTGCGTAAAGTTTCATTCTCAAGCAATGCCCGCTGCTCCTGGAAACAGAAATTCAGATGAACTAATTAACTGGATGGGATTTTTAAACTTTTTTTTTAAAAAAAATTAATCTTTTATATGCATATATATATTAATCCACTTCATTGGCAGATATACAACAAGAAAGATGCATGGAACTGTAACTTTTAGCCCTTTTCAGTGTGTTATTTAAAAAACTAAATTACTTTCATCAACTTTCCATTACCCACTTTCCTCCCATCCTTCTGGTTCCCACCATTTGCATCCTACCATCCTTATTATTCTCGGTTTAGAGTAACTTCAAGTGTTTATAGCCAATGTTTTGCAAGTTCCATGAGACCTTGCCTCCACACAAAAAGTATGATCAAGCATTCTCCTTATGAAGATCAAATTTTCTTTTCAAAATGAGCCTATAGTTGGTGATAACCATAGGCGTAGAATCCATCTTTATTGTTCAAAAACATGGTTTCTAGACAATACAAAGACATGCAGAGTGGGATCCGACATACCTGTACTCTCGATTGCTCTAGCTGTTCCATAAGCACTTGTTCCTGAAACGGTAGATTTTGTATTAAGGCCTCTTGAGTTAAGAGATTGTTTGTAGAAATAAGTATGTAATTAACCGAATAGATCCGATGAATTTAGAGAAAATGTCATACAACCTTCTTCTCCTTCACAGATAACAACCCTTCACTAAGCTGCTGCTCCAGGACGTCAAGCTCTTTCAAGCTCATGCTGGTCAAGTTCTTACCCAACAGCTGTCTATAAAGTCAGAAAAATAATTAGCTTAACGGAAAGTAATATCTCTGTATGGAAGAAAAATATAACAGTTAACACAAAACAGATATTTAAGATGACATACAATTGTTTCATTTGCAGCTTTGCAACTTCATCCTTCAGATTTTCTGTTTCCTTAGAGTCTTGTTTCTTCATACAAGTATACTTGAAATCATCAGTATGAATACTTACAGCATATACAACTATTGTAAGAAAAAAATAAATGAAACAGAAACATGTTTGGAAAAAAAAAATTTAGTCATCTTATTTCGATTGGTAGTAACCACATGCCATGCACAATTTAAGTCTTAGATTCCAACTTCCAATTATCATCTTGAGATACAACATGGAAAAATTGATGATGATGTCGAAATATGTTGTTCCGAGACAAAAGGGATTTGCATTTGTAAGCATAAAATGCAGATTACCTCTGCTTTATGTTCCATTAGAGGCCTCTCTGGAGAACCTTGCACACACTTGTTGTATCTGGAAAATGTTTTCTTCATGCTGCACAAATGAACAAATGATTAAACTATGAACCCAATCTACACAATGAAACAAACAATGCTTAAGAAAGCAAAGCACTTTATGATCTCCTATAGCAGGATGCTTCCACTATCTCACTAATCTGCGATCATCGAAGCTAACATGTAGAAACCGACATAGATTAACATGTCCCAATCCTTCAAAGAAGGTACCGTCCAAAATTTCAATAAACTCAATCATTTGGCATACCAAGTTTCCCTTGAAATTTCAATCAGAAACTCTCAGTTGGGATATGAAAGGGATGCAACTTTTCACTTGATGTAGGTATAAAAGCAATCAAGCAAAGAGAAATTGAAAATCTCATTACGACTCTATGCTTGCAATTCAAAACAAAACCTCTAAATTTCAACGTGTATCAGAAGAAAATATGTTGTTTATAAAAAGCTCCCCAAAAGTGAAAAATTCAAATTTGCATTAACACTTCCAATCCAAAAATCACATGCAATGCAACAATCAAGAAATAAACAGGTAACACACAATTTCACAAAAAAAGTCATTTCTTCCTTAAAAAAACATTTTCCCAGCTAAAAAGCTTAAATGATAATAAACTTAAGGTCGTTCATAAAATGCAACACTTCTGAAAACGGGGAGGAAAAGGTATAACTGAAGTTCATAATGAAATTGATAGAAAATGATAAAAACTCAAAACTATCAGCAGAAACAAATCGAAACAGACATGCAAGAATTTAAACAGATTAAAATTCCCAAAACCCACTAAACTTCTCAATCGGTGACCCCTGTTAAACACCAGTCTGATATAATCCAAAAAAAAACCACTCATGCAATGATAAAAATAAACATTTTTTTTAAAAAGAAAGAATCTTCATTTTTTATATGTAACGCATACCCAGAGCTGGAGTACTCGAAAAGTTTGCCGGTATTGGAGAAAATGATGACAGAAACCTCAGCATCACAGAGAATGGCGAGTTCCTTAGCCTTCTTAAGCAAACCCGCACGCCGCTTGGAGAATGTAACTTGCCTGCTGTTAGCGTTCTCTATTCTCTTTATCTCTATTTTCCCCCTACCCATTTTTCTCCTCTCTGCGCTGTTTCAGTTTCTCCTCAAAAACCCAGTAAAAGAAACGATTTTTTCAATTCAACCTTTGTTAGAACAAATGAAAAAAATGACCAACCACTTCTGGGTTTGAATTTAAATATCCTGCTTTTGATTACTAAGAGAAGAGAAAGCTTAATTTGGGGAGTAAGAGAAAGAAAGGATTTCCAAAATTAGAGAACGGGGGAAGATAGAAAAAAATATTAAAAAGGCTAGGCGTTTTGAAACTGGAAACGACAAGTTTCTTGCATGGCTCTCTGCAATTCTATTTACAGTGTGCTTCCATTATATATTCCTTTGCCACATTTGGAGAGGTTTACATTTTTTAGTTTTAGGCTTCTGATGCTGGACCCCACCTTCTTTTTCTGTGGTCCCCACTTAAATGGACTAATAAAAAAAAATTATCAATTGATGGGTTAAATTTGCTTGTTTTGTTTGAATCTTGGTTGCTATATTTGTTGCTATCTATAATGTGATTTTTGATAATTTTTTGAGAAGGGTACAAATGCATCTTTGGATTTGTTTTCAAGAATGGTAAATTGTGGCACTAGATATATGGGATTTGGTGGAATCTTTACCAAATATGGAGAGAAGTGTTAGAGTTTTATTTCCCATATTTGGAGTATTTCCTTATATTTCATCTCACAATGACCTTTCAATGGGTAGTTTTGCCCTACAGTAGCCTAATTTAATGTCAGGAAGCGGTAGGAAATGGGTACGACCGAAAATATTATAAAAATCATAACATTTTCGGTTGAATGATGTAATACCTCAAATTTTAGTTTGTGACTAAAATGTAAGTTTTGAAAGTTTAGTAGCTAAAGTATAAATTTAGAGAAGTTCATGAACCAAAAATGTAATTTTGAAAAGTTATATATATTTTAGCATGTAAATGAATAGTTTGGTCTAAAACAAGATTTTTTTTGGTAATCAGATTTTCAGTACGAGATTTGTGTTAAAAAATATAAAGCGTTAAAGTTCGGTATATAAATCAGATAATCGAATCGAGTCAAAATTTAATGAAAATTTGAAGGATGATGGATAAGGGTTAGAAATGTTATTTCTATATTTTAGATTTGAAAAACATAGCACAGATTGGTGTAATTTTTTAGATTTGGCCGTAATGGAATTTTCAAAAATTGCATGGATAAAGTAGAAAGTCAAAGCCAAATTCATTCATCTTTGACCAAGGAATATTTTAATGGAAAATTTTGCAATGTCAATTGGTAAATATCAAGTTTCATTAATGGTATTTTGGGATTTCTCGTTAATTGAATTTTAAATTCAATTAAATTAGTTTCAACGCCATGTGTAATAGGAAAATTACTAGAAAAATCAAGACTTCATCTTCCCCATCATTTTTCTGCTGTGAACCCTTACAAGGTGAGAAAAAAAGTTATTTTTCATTTTTTGAGCTATTTTAGTAGGATTTTGGATTAAGTTGTGAAATAGAAAAATGTTCTCCATCAAATTCTCTATCATTTGGTATAAGAAATTCAAGCTAAGCATGCTTGGATATTGAGATTTGTTGAGTAGGGTTTATGAAGGGTTTATGGGTTTTGATGATTTAATGAAAGATTATTATGTTTTTGGTGTTGGAGATTAATTCTAAGGCAAGAATGATGATTAAAAACATGTGTAGATATTTATATTAAGTTAGGCTAATTTAGGGTTTATGGAGAATTGATTTAATTGGTTGCTGTGATGATTAGAAATGCATGAATTTGATGTAAGGAAGATGAATTCATAGGGAAGCAATTAGGGGGAAAATGTTGAAAATTTTCTTATGGTCTAGAAATGATATTAGAAGAGTTTTATGTGAGATGGAGATCAATTTGGATCAATCTGGAAGCTTGAATTAGAAAAAGGGTTAGTTTGCAAGTTATGAGAATTGTGGGACTTAAATGTGTAAATGTGCAATTTGAGGTACTTAATGTTGATTTTTAATAAGCATATGCTGAAATTTTAAGTTGGAAAATTAGTTGGAACCAAAATACAATTTTATTAAAAGTATGATTTATGGATTATTTCCATAATATCTTTTATAAAGTTTTATGAATGATTTAAGGTATGAACTGCCCAAGTTATGATTTTTACGACAGTGAAATAAAAAATGATTATGATTTCTGAAATGTTGGTTATTAAATGATTATGATACGATTTAAAGCTTATTGTATGTTGCATTGAGAGTCATTGGTACAATTGGCATGCCATGAGGTGGAGTGATTATGATTCTGATTTGGTACATCTTTATATATATTACGTTTAGCACTGTTGATGTGAATGATATGATTACACTTGAAGTGCAAAGTTTGATTCTGATAATAGCATTGTAGTGCTTATTGCGCACACTCGTCTGACTCACGTACCTTGCATTCTCTTAAATATATTGTGGGTTACGATAATGGAATATGAACGTTCTGTAATGTGTCTGAATGAAAAGAAATTTTAAATGATTACTCTGTCTGTTATTGATTATTATGATTTTTGAGAAAATTATAAGTTGATTCTTTTCAGGTCATGATGAAGAAATAACTTAAGTTAATTGGTTTGAATGTTTTAAGATTTTGTCTGAGTTATTTTGAATATTTTAATGTATTTATGACCTTTATGTATATTTTAATCTCACCTTGAGTTATTACTGCCTCACAAAGTTTTATTAGCGCGTGATGATTTTCATGCATATGTTTGGATAAGGATTAGGATGTGCAGTGAGGAGCCTCTCAAATATCTTTTTGGAGATCATCTATACTATCAATATCAGTAAGACATCTATAATGTTACTTTTGACTAGTAGTGACATGTATGTTTATGTTATTAGTAGTTTATTTAGAATTAAGTTAAATGGTATGTAATAGTAACTAGGAACATTTTATTTTGACTAGACTAGTCATATATGTATCTATGAATGAGTAGTTTAAATAAATATATGAGTATATTCTAAAATGGTTTTTAAATGAAATGATGATTAGATAGTTCTATATAAGTTAGAAAACAATATCAAACTGCTTAATTTCTGCTTGGAAACGAATTTATTTTTAATGATTAAATATTTTTTTATTTTTTTATTAAGATCAATGGAATAGTTTTAAAGTTGGAATATAAATGTTTTAAAATGAAACAAAATTTTAAGCATTTATGTTCAGTGAAGGTTTGTAAAGTTGATGTGACATTTTTAGCTCATATTTCGATACACATATGGGCTATATGTGTTACCTTTATTGGTATTAGAGCTGCAGGTTTAGATGATTCTCAGCCTAAACCGAGCCTATGTTATGTCGAAAATATGTGCATGCCACTAGGATGTCGAAATTACTGATCCGATATGGTTTGATGATTTTAGTTATGATATTGTTCCTTACTAACGTATAGTTAATTGTGATTGTTTAGATGTCAGATTCAGAGGGATCGAGACCAACATCCAAACAGAAGATTCTCGAGGGAACTGATACTGGTAGTGGTAGTAGCAATGAGGTAGAACATGGGCCTCATACTCAGCATGAGTAGCAGGGAGTGCAGACACGTCAGAGAATGTCGTCTCTAGATCAAAGTACATTTTTGCAGGATTTAGAAGCTATCCTGGCTCGATATCAGCCCATAATAGCACCCCCCCTCATTCGCCTCCACCTCCCCCTCCTCCACCCCCGAGAGTCCCAAATTTTGAAAAAAATAAAGAGGTTAAGGGCTTATGAATTTAAAGGAGAAACGAACTAAGGCCCAATAGTGGCATATATGTGGTTGAATGATGTGAAGATCATGTTGGATAGTCTTCATTATTCTGATAAAGAAAGAATAGGGGTGTAGTTTCACTGTTATAAGGCCAAACTCATATATGGTGGACGAACGTGACAACACATGTTCCTCCAGATCATATTACTTAGCAGTTTTTCTTGGAGGCATTTTAGAAAAAATATATCGGGGAGCCGTTTATTACACAGATGAAGCATGAATTCTTTAACCTAATTCAGGGTAATAAATATGAGTAAGAGTACGAGTGTGAGTTTAATAAGCTCGCTCGATTGAAATATATGTCATAAGTTTATTAGAGGCCTCCGCCCCAGATTGAGGGAACTTTTGTTGACTGCAAATTTGACTACTTTTCAGGAAGTGGTAATTAAAACAAAGGACTTGGAAATGACGCAAAATGAGAATGTTATGATAGAGCGGAGACGACAGTTAAATAGATCATGATACGAGTCTGAGGTGTCACATTGACTTTTCAAACTTTAACTCATGACAAAAACTCGAGAAAATTTAAAACTTTCATTAAAGTCACAGCGGTTTGTTTAACTCAATCAATTAGTACATGCCAACTATATTCAATATACAAAATACATCTAATTCAAGACATCTTTTCTGATCTGATCTTCGGTAAGAAGTAACTGACCGATCTTGCTCCTCTTCATTTTTCTTCTAGCTTTCCAGAACCTACGTGTGAAACACTCACACGCTAAGTCGATGACTTAGTGAGGCATAAAAACATATAACCACTACTAATGCATTCATAATCTATACTTATTATATCATACAAAATCATACATTATGTCATGCAACCACTATCCACTTGTACACACACATCATTCACATATTCTTATAACAGGTTTCATAGCACAAAACATGTAAATCATATGTAAGGTATTTATTATTATCTCTTTATTAGTCTTATTTTCGTTCTTTATCTTTTTGTCATATGTTCTTGCAACAATTCCTCTTAACCAAGCTATATACACATCATCATATCACATATATCACTTCACACCATAAAGATTATAAACCAATCACATACTATCATGCAAGGTTCTTTTATATTATTTCCTTTATTAGCCCATGTACACATGTGATAACCATAATTATGTGAGTCTATAGAGGTTGTGTGCTAATGTTGTCACCACAGCTCGTATAATTTCATCGAAGTGCCACGTAGAATTGCACCAGAGTGCCGCTTAGAATTGCACCGTAGTTCCATATAATAATGTCCATAAGGACCACATATCATTCCTTAAGAATCATATACATATACTAGGGATAAAGTATGTGTCTCACAAGACTTCACACATGTTCCAAAGAATATATATATATCCCGAAGGACCGCGTAGACCCTCGACTCTTGGCATGCCAACTATACCCCTAACTCTCAAGACACATAACATGGTCATTTTCTTTTATACTTATCATTTCACATAACACATAGTTCACTTTCACATATCACGTAGCTTATATAACTTTTCGTGTCATTTTACATTTCTTGACACCTTGCTTACATTCTATTATTAT